CTGGGACCACTTCTAGTTTTCTTGCTACTACTAATACTGTAATAAACAATTACACCTCTTTGAATTATAGGCATATATTTTACAATGAGCTTTAAGTACTCGTGTGTGTGCAGTGCATGTGTGGACAGTTTTTGTACTTAATATGCATTTTCATGACTATAGATCTGCAGCATTTTTTTAAAGTTTATTTATTTATTTATTTATTTATTTATTTATTTATTTAAGTCATCTCTTCACCCCATGTGGGGCTCGAACTCACAACTCCGAAATGAAGAGTCGCACACTCCACCGACTGAGCCAGCCAGGTGCCCCTATAGCATCGTTTTTAAAGGTTGTACATTATATCGTATTGGACAGATGAAACGTCATTTGTTTAACAAATGCCCTGCGGCTGGGGATTTATGCTGTTCCTGATTTTTCACGATTATGAACAATGCAGTGTTGAACACCTATACACTGAAATCTTTGTGCATTTGTCAAATTATTTTCCTCAGATACATTCCTAGAGGTGAGGTTGCCAGGCCAAGGGGTATGCCTATTTGGAGGAGTGGCCGCTTCATTTCAAAGAAAAACTGCCAATTCTGTCATGCAGATTTGTTACACAGGGGTCCTCCGATATGATAGCGGGGGGGGGGGCATTCAGAGGTAGGTAGGCGATTGCCAGCCCTGATGCAGCAGGGCAGGATAATAGCCCCAGGGAGGTCCCCGTCCTAATCCCAGGACCCTGTGACTATCTCCAGCGACACAGCAAAGGGGAACTAAGGGTGCAGAGGGAATTAAGGTTGCCAATCAGGTTCACTTAAAACAGGGGGATTATCCTGATTATCTGGTGCCCAAGGTAATCACAAGGATCCTTGACAATGGAAGAGGAACCAGGCACTAAAGTTAGGGGGGCGAGCTTCTGGGGGGCTTCAACCTGTGAAAGGTATAAGGGGGGAGGGAACAGAGGTGAACAGAGAGAGACTCGAACCAGGCACACAGTGAACTGCACTTCCTGCCGCCGAACGGCAAATCTGGGGCCGGATTTCTCCCTTCTGCTCTTCAGTCGCCCCGATCCTGTTCTCTTCTTTGAGCCCCAGGATAGCAACTGTTGCTAGGCCCTGTTGTAAATACATTTGTTTCAAAATGTAGCTCGGCAGAGCTGGAAATGACTTTAGGGATCATCTCATTTTCCACATAGAGAAACGGAGACCTGGCAGGGTGGGGGGCCTCAATCAAGAGGACAGCTAGCCACCTGCGGAGTCAGGACAGGAACACGGCGGGAGGGTGGGGGGTCCTCACTCAGGGTTTGCAGCAGCATTAGGAAAAGGCTGCTCAGGGGCGTCTGAGTGGCTCAGCCCCTTAAGGGTCCGACTCTTGGTTTCCACTCAGGTCATGATCTCAGGGTTATGAGATGGAGACATTTGTCGGGCTCCCTGCTCCCCTCTCCCCTCTCCCTCTCCCTCAGCCCCTCCCCCCACTCGCATACACACTGTCTCTCTAAAATAAATTTAAAAATATTGAAAAAAAAAAAGAGGGGTGCCTGGGTGGCTCAGTCGGTTTAAGTGTCTGACTTCAGCTCAGGTCATGTTGTCAGGGTCCTGGGCTCGAGCCCCACATCGGGCTCCCTGCTCCACAGGAGGCCTGCTTCTCCCTCTCCCTCTCTCAAATAAATAAATAAATAAAATCTTAAAAAAAAAAAAAAAAGGCTGCTCATTTGGAAAGATTAGTGGAGGGTCACCATTTTTACCAAAAAAGTAACCATCACTGCTATAAATAGACTCAACTTGCATCAAAGCATAATCATTAAAAGAAAAAAAATATAACCAGACTGCTCTTTGAGAAGATCTTTGAGACTTAATCTTAATTAAATTTATTAAAAAATAGCAACAAAACTGTAAGCCTTATAAAAATGCAAGAGCCTACTTCATCCCCACTAATCTGTAAAAATTCACAGCGACATACGGTTTTAAAATCTTACCCAAGTAAAGGCATGGAGATGGGCTATTGCATTATTAACTGCACGTGTGGAAGATACAAATGGTTTACTAAATTATTTTCAATTCATTATATCAAGCTAGGGAAACCATATGGAAAGGGCAGAAATCGTTTTTATGGGAGAGAGAGAACGGTTATATTCTAGTTAGCATTGATTTGTGGAGGGATGACTTTATTTCCAGTACTACCTGTGATGCTGATTTGTAGAATGGAAAAGTGCTCCAACACCAGGCTCAGTTGGATCTGCAAACAACATTCTTACTTAGAATTCTTTTTTTTTAAAGATTTTATTATTTTTGGGGGGCGCCTGGGTGACTCAGTTGTTAAGCATCTGCCTTCAGCTCGGGTCGTGATCCCAGAGTCCTGGGATCGAGCCCCGCATCCGGCTCCCTGCTCCGCGGGAGGCCTGCTTCTCCCTCTCCCACTCCCCCTGCTTGTGTTCCCTCTCTCCGCTGTGTCTCTCTCTGTCAAATGAATAAATCTTTAAAAATTTTTTTAAATTATTTTTTCAAGTAATCTCTACACCCAACATGGGGCTCCAACTCATGACCCTAGATCAAGAATCACAGGCTCTTCCAACTGGGCCAGCTAGGCACCCCTCTGACTTGGAATTCTTAAGATGGTTTTCGCTACTAGAAAAAGGAAGTTGTCACCTTTTTCTTGCTTTTTCGGTACAGGCATCATTCAAGTGCGGGAGTTTCCCATTTGAAGCAATTTCCATTCTTCCCGGCTGTCAAGTTCAGGAATGGGCATGTGTTGGGGGGGAGGGGCGGCAGCTGGTGAGTCAGTCAATCAGGTCACTTGCCCATTTCCCAAAATTGTAGATAAAGATGTGAATGAGGTTTGTGGACTCTAGCCCTATTGGGCTCCGACTTCCCAGGTTCAAACCTTGATCCATCTGCTAATTCTACACCCCTCACCTCCAAACTAGCATCTCACAAGATTATCAACTAGGAGTGTAGATGAAACCACAGACAACACACAGGGCCAGCTACCCCACCTTTGAGTGTTAATTTGTAATTCTGAGAGTAAATTGCCAAGGTGAGTCAAAGAAATGCTTTTCGAGTCAGCTTTTTTGGAAGTGAGGTGAGAAAGGAAAGGATGTGTATAGAAAGGCACAAGTCTAAGTCTAGGATTGAGTAGGAGTTGATCTGGGTGGGGATTTACTGGTGTATGTCAGAGGGGCAGGGGCCTCTCAGAGGCAGGCCTTGTCTTCCCTCTTTATTATAGAGGGAAAACAGATTCCGGCTTTCAGCTTTATTCAAGGGCGAGCTTCGGAATCTGCAAGGAAATGTTACCAGATTTTACCAGGCTGCAGAAGATGCCAGCCTTCTTGGAATCATTTCTTTTTCCCTAAATAGCATATTAAGAGTTCAATCCTGATGGTACTTATCATCTTTGAGCACAGATGAATCTTTCTAGCGTGAGCCAAGAGAAACACACACTCGTATAATTAGGCATCACAAGTGCTAGAATCAGCCCCCACCCTGAATTTCCCCAACCATCACCTAAAAAAGAACATGGCTTTAGAAGGTAAATAACTCTGAGAGAAACTTAATAGCCAAGTATCTTTTCTCTCACTAATCTAGGAAACCTATGTAACACACTGGAAAAACTGTAGTCTTGAGACCGTTACTATGTTAAACTGCCAAGGTCGGGGCGCCTGGGTGGCTCGGTCTGTTAAGCATCTGCCTTCAGCTCAGGTCATGATCCCAGGGCCCTGCATCGTCCAGCACATCATCCAGCATCGGGTACCTTCCTCAGCAGGGATCCTGCTTCTCCCTCTGCCTGCCACTCCTCCTGCTTGTGCTCTCTGACGAATAAATAAAATCTTTAAGATAAATAAATAGGGGTACCTGGGTGGCTCAGTCGTTAAGCGTCTGCCTTCGGCTCGGGTCATGATCCCAGGGTCCTGGGATCGAGCCCCGCATCGGGCTCCCTGCTCGGCGGGAAGCCTGCTTCTCCCTCTCCCACTCCCCCTGCTTGTGTTCCCTCTCTCGCTGTGTCTCTAATAAAATCTTTAAAAAATAATAATAAACTGCCACGGTCATGGATTCACTCATGCAAGAGCTGTGGTCTTTATTTACACAGCAGATGGGAGGACAAAGATCGAAGAGCCAGGCCAATGTTAACCTTTGTTAAGTAGTATGGTGGGGAGACCTTGGGCAGGTCATTTACCAAGCCTCAGTACCCACATGTATTACATGGAGGTAATGCCAGGCCCAGGGTTGCTGGGAAGGCGGCATGAGATCATGATGTGAAAGAATTTGGAACAGAGAAGAGCATAACCCAAAAAAGTCATTTTATTGTCCACCCTCCGAGCTATTACACAGGGGCAAGTGGGGGGAGGGGTGCTGCTTGGATGGCGAACATTGACAGCAGGGGTTTCTGGGGTTGTCACGGGCTAAGCACCAAGCTCACACTGGCCACAAGGCTTTCTACTAGATTAGAGACATGAAGGAGTTTGAAGAAATTTGTCATCTTATCTGGAACAATCTGTGGGGAGGTCCTGCTGCCACATCTAAGATGCGGTGGCTATCCACATGGGTGGCCCCAAAGGCTCTGTGCTGAAAAGAGCTAATGGTTCCCAGATGTCACTAACAGTGAAAGAGCTAAAGGGAAGGCTTCATTGTTTGTGGAAGCCAGGTGGGCTCCTGTGGAAGGCTGGAAGATGTCACCAAGGTCCAGCTGAACACCTATGGGGGGGGTCAGATGCCAGAGTCCTCATCCTCAAAGTGAGGGCAGAAAGAAACTCATGGAGCCGCAACTAAGAAATGCTCTTGGCACAGAACTTAGCCTAGGCCCAGCCTGGGATGCGGCAGTCTGCTAACTAATTTCCAGTAAGTTAGTTCTCAGATTCCTCAGCAACTCCATTTGGAATCATTTTTTTTTTTTTAGAACTGAGGAGTCAAAAATTCCAAGCGAAAGGACTTCATTCATGAGAGCCTTCCTGAACCTCTTCAGCTTCCTTCCAGACTCTGAGGATGCAGGGAATGCCCAGCCTCAACTTCCTCCATGGGTCTTGCCCACCCCATTCTCATTTTGCCTTTGGTAGAAGCATGAGGCCGGCTGGCCAGAGTCTGGGTTAAGGCTAGACAGCTTCAGGCCACTCCTGGTATCTCCTCCATTCAGTTGGCAAAGTGGGACAACCCCATAGCACACCATATGGTGTCTTGGTTTGAAAGACCCTGCTGGTAGAGGGTTAAGGGGACTGATTTCTAAGTAGGAGGGCAGCAGGTGCAGGGAAGGTGGGAGAAGCAGGCAGTGGGGGGCCTCTATGGTTCCCATCCCTGAACTGCTCTTTTAACCATTTCACGTGCCGGTGAGTCACTCAAGTTGGAAAACTCCTGCCACAGGGCGCAGGTGCCAAGGAAGAGAAGTGTCAGATTTTGCGGGGAACAGCAACGTGCTCCTGGCGCAATGCTCTGTAGTGACAGAAAGAGAAAAAAGGACGGTGCAGTCTCTAGACCCTCTAGATTCACAGTAGAAAATCACGAGCAGGTTTGGAAAAAGGAATTCTCTTCTTCGGACTGAGGTTCAATAAAAGAACACATTTCTTCGCTCTGGAGACTGGCTTTCTGAAAAACAGGATAAGCGTGATGAGGAAGAAGCGGTTTGAATCCTGACTCCACCGCTGCCTCGTTGTGTGACCTCAGGCGAGTTACCTAGCCTGTCTGAGCCCCACATTCTCATCTGTTCAACGAGGCCACTAATGCAACCTACCTCCCAAGATTCCGGAAAGGAGCAAGTGAATTAAACACACGGAAAGCACTTCAAACAGTGCCTGGCACATATATGCTCAATAGATGTTAGCTACTCTTTTGTTAAAGAGGCATGTCTTTGGGGCGCCTGGGTGGCTCAGTCAGTTACGCATCCGACGCTTGGTTTTGGCTCAGGTCATGATCTCAGGGTCGTGAGAGCGAGCCCAGTGCTCACAGAGAATCCGCTTGAGCTTCTCTCTCTCTCTCCCTCTCCCACTGCCCCTTCCCCCAACACGTACACACACTCTCTTTCTCTCTCTCAAATAAATAAAATCTTTATATATATTTTAAAAAGAGGCACTGTCTTCATATGTAGTAGAATAGAGTTGGCATTGTAGGGAAGATAAGGACTTGGAAGTCAGAGAAAGCAGACTCTGGCACTCATTCACCTTGACTTTGGGCAAATTACTTAACCTCCCTAAACCTCAATTTTCCCATCCTGTGAATGAGGATAAAAATAGCACCTGCCTTGTAGGTAGCTACTGGTTCTTATTTTGCTTCACTTCCGTGAATCTTATCGTTCTCATCTCTAATGACCTTTTACTTCCTTCCACCTCAGCCAGCCATTCCTATGGCCAGACAGCTAGACTCTGTCATCGCCTACACAGGCGGCACCCTTGCCATTTCAATTTCAAACATCTACTCTCCACCCACTACCTCCCATGTCATTGGCCTAAGTAGTCTTCACACTACATGTTTCCATAACCTAATCCTCCAGTCCATCAGCCTCCACTACCCGTCTTCCCCCATTGGCCTCCTTTCCCTTCTTTGTGCAGCTCAGAGACCAGGCTCCCTTGTTACAGTCACTCACTTGCAAATACCCTCAGGGTCATGAGATGGAGCCCCCCCCCATCGGGCTCCGCGCTCAGTGTGGAGTCTGCTTGTCCCTCTCCCTCTGCTCCTTCCCTTGCTCTCTTTCTCTCTCTCAAATAAATAAAATCTTTAAAAACGGGGGCACCTGGGTGGCTCAGTCGTTAAGCGCCTGCCCTCGGCTCAGGTTATGGTCCCAGGGTCCTGGGATCGAGCCCCGCATCGGGCTCCCCGATCCGCGGGAAGCCTGCTTCTCCCTCTGCCACTCCCCCTGCTTGTGTTCCCTCTCTCGCTGTGTCTCTCTCTGTCAAATAAATAAAATCTTTTTGTTAAGATTTTATTTTATTTATTTGAGAGAGAGACAGAGATAGTGAGAGAGAGCAGGAGTTGGGAGGAGAGGGAGAGGTAGAAGCAGGCACCCCGCCGAGCAGATGACCTCTGTTTTCTCCATCAACTCTGGGGCAAGAGCCTCAGCTGAGAGTGCAAATCTGGGGGTCAAAAAGTGGGCAAGTATGGGAGTCATCAGCTTCCTGAGTGCCCAGCTGAAGTTTGAGGTCAGGAGTCGCAAGTAGAAACAGCGGGGTGGGGTGATTTTCCTGAGTGCTGTTTGGTTAGCGTGATGCACAGAAGGGAGACAGTGAAGTTCATCCGGGATGGAGGTTTTGGCGGGTGAGCGTGATGGATGGGGGGAGAGGAAAAGTTGCTGAGGGAGGTTTAGAGAGGTTAAGTAATTTGCCTCGGCCAGCAGGAGGGGACTGGGCCCATATTGGAGGGGCAGGAGGAGACTCGACCTTCCTTCTTTCCTTTGACCAATCTTTATCTGGGGCCTCACACAGGAAACCTTTCAGAACTACTGAAATTCCTACTGAAACGTTCATCGAGCTCACTTGGAAACCAGGTTCATATAAAATATACAAAGAGTCAAACGTTTAGAGGCAATGGAGTTCCATGCCAAATCTACCGGAAGTGAGGACGTGGAATCTGTGCATTTCAAGCTCCCCCGTGGTCTTCACCATCAGCCAAGACTGGGAGCCTGGTGGTGTGCTGAGGAGCAGGGACTTTGCTGGGGTGCCCGGAAGTGGCCGTGCCCAGCAGTGCCCGTGCCCTGCTGCCTCCCTCTGTCCAGAGCCACAGTGGCAGGAGAGCTGACTTGGGACGGTTGGCATAGCCGGGTACCCACTCCCCATCTCCCCTCAACTAGTCTCGGCTCGGGGAGTCCATCCCCTTGCCCTTTGCCCAAGGTAATAGGGTTCCCGTGCCCGCTGTCCCATATTACCCTTATTCTAGGACGGTGTCCTGGCCACGGATAGACCGTGAACCCATATGCCCTGAAACGATCCTACCAATTGCCAACTCTCACTACGGTACACTTGATTTAACTTGGAATTGTTTCTCAGGATTAATGTGTATTGTCATTTATGATTGAGGATGGCTTTAAGACTGAGAGCAAAGAGAGGAATACCCCTTGCCACCTGATGCTGGGTGATCTTAAGGCAAGTCTTGTCGCCTGTTCGAGACTCCGTCTCCTCATGTACAAAATGAGAATATTTATGCATTCGTTCAATCCCTATTCCCTGAAGACCTGTTGTGTAAGGCACCAAAGATATGCACATACACAATTCACAAGGTCACTGTGGGCACCGAGCAGGACGGCATGTGTGGGATCCGGCTCATAGTCCCCACCCGTACGTGTTGCTGTTATTTTTTTCGCCTTTTAAAGGAACTATTTAAAGCATCAAGTTTTCAGTAATTCTAAGGCTTAACATTAAAAAATGTACAAACTATTAACAAGTACTTAGAGGAGACTTTATAATCCTGACTTTCATTAATTAGTAGGCCAGCAGAACTCATCCTCTTGGGTAGAGATTGATGTGAAGCCTGACTCCGCCACGCTAAAGCTCTTGAACCAGCCCTAAATCCATCTCCTCATTTGGGCATGGCCAATTAATCACCAAGGGAGCTTATGGCTTGTCCGTTAGTCTGTCTTACACAAAGGCTTCAAACAAAAGAATCTGTACTGTGTTGGCAATGTATTTTTACTATTTCCTTCTTCACCATTCTATTGTTTCCAGCACTCTCTCATCCATCCACTCAACAAATATGTATTCCCCTCTGTGCCGGGCTCTGTTGCAGATGCTGGGATGTGGGTATACACCCCTCAAAGTCTTGGCCCTCAAGGAGCTAACATTCTAGATCCTAAGCATTTACATATATTATTTCATTTTAATCTTCATAGAAACTCTATTGGGGGGGCACCCTATCTTAATCCTCATTTCACAAATGAGCCAACTGAAGAGTGGAGAGGTTAAGAAATGTGCCCAAGTTTCTGAAGCTAGTAAGTCATGAGCCCGGATTAGAAGCCAGGCCATAAAGAGCCTCATGCCTTTCCCCCCCAGACCCATATCGTTCCCATTTGGAAGTTACTACTGACACTTTCTGAATTGAGCGTGGAGCCCAGAGTCCTGGCCCTTAGCCTCAGGTGACATTTTCCTGGGCCTCAGAGTCCTGGGGTAGCCCTATGTTCTAGGCTGAAAACTAAACATCTGGGACAAGCAAACTAATCCTCATGAATTTGCTCATTTCGCTGAGTCATCTGGGTTAAATCTAGCTCGGGTAAGAGAACGCAATAGAGCTGCTCAGATAGCAAAATAAGAAAATGGTTTAAAAAAAAATGGTCAAGACATTTTACAAGGCACAAAGTACATGGGCTCTTTGAGACTAAGATGAAACAAATTCCAGCCATGAAAATACTAAGTAACAGAAATCGAGGTCTTATCAGTTGAAGAGCCTGGTTTTCACACTATGAGCTTCTCCCCAAGTTTTATTCCCAAGCTGTAGGGACAAAGTATCTAAGGCAGAACCTGATACCGACTTTCACTTGCAAGGTTGGCACTGGCAGGTCCACCATCTGGGGGGAAATATATTTTCTTATCTAGAAAGGAAGAACACATGATTAGAAATCTCCAGGGACTCCAAATGGTCTGCCCCTCAGTTTATTTTTAAAGGTTATTTGTTTGTCAGAGAGAGAGAGAGAGAGAGAGAGCATGAGCAGGGGGAGGGGCAGAAGCAGAGGGAGAAGCAGACTCCCTGCTGAGTGTAGAGCCAGACTCGGGGGAGGGCTCAATCCCAGGACCCTGGGATCATGATCTGAGCTGAAGGCCGACGCTTAACCCACTGAGCCACCACCCAGGCGCCCCCTGCCCCTCAGTTTATAAACCCCGAGCATGTTTTCTCTTATCAGATGTTACAAAAACAGAGACGTTTCTGTTTTTAAGGTACCTTGGGGTCTTGTTCCCATCTTACAGGCAATGTTCCTGACTTCCCCAACAGATCCTAGACCATCAGGCCAATGAATACAACTGACGTCCATGTTAGTAGGAGAGCGTGAAGTTTTCAGTAGTCAGACTTGGTGATAGACATGTAATAATGTGTCTAGAGGTTTCAGAAATAGGATCATGCTTGCATCATAATTTTGCCATGATGTGCCTGGCGTATAGTAGATGTTCACTAAGTATTTGCTGAATTGGGTTTGAACTGTATAGTTGTTATGTTTGGGAGGTGAGGATTTGAGCCATCTGTGTTCTAACTAACTGCTGTGTGTATGCGAACACAGTTGGCCTAATTTTTCCTCTGAATCCAGCAGGAACAAATTTTTGAAAAAGAGTACCGGAGTGGGAATTTTCATGGGTTTCCCATGCATGACATTTTTATGATTTACTCTTGAAGTACATTCCTAATCAAACTCTGGAAATGATAGAGTGGTATTTTAATGAGAAATTTGTTTTTGACATTAGGCTGGAACACAGTGCCTGACTTAGGTAGGCTATGCTGAACAGGCCCTTTGTGTACTGTATAGTTAGTTCCGAGTAAAGGCAACGTCTAGCAATTTCTTTCAGGCATAGAACACTAGAACTATAGACATGTATGGACTAGGGGGCTGTAAAAGAAAATCTGTCCAGAGTACAGAATGCCAGAGGATGTGGATTTGGCCCCATGAAACCATAAAATATATATATTATTACCAATGTTTCATATGAAAGGCAAATCTTGTAGCAGATTGGGTTGTTCTGTTGGTGAAAGTATACTTCAGGCCAATTCTCCCCGAGCCTTTACAAAGAAGGGAGTCTTGTTTTTTGGTAGGCATTTGGCATCTAGTAGGCACTGATTAAATATTTGTTGGGCGAATGAGTGAATGAAGAAGTGAATGAGCCTTAAGGGGGTTTTAGTTCAGGGGGAAGGGTGGTGGCCTGGGCGCAGACACCCAAGGGAGACCGAGCCGTGGCGGTCTCCAGGCTGCTGTGGGACAGCTTCTACAGCGACTTTGAATTTTAATGTTTGGAGCAGACGGTTGGTATAGATTGCCCTTGTTTCTGCCCAGGAACCTGGCATCACTGCAAGTTGCCAACCTGTTTAGAGGATAGAGTTTTGAGCCTGTAGGTATGTCGGAGAGTTCTGTTTTACAAGTGGATTATTTGGTGTCTGACGGCGAGGTGAATGCAGGACGCTGCGATTTTAGGCAGCAGCCTAAATCATTTTTCTAGTGCAAGTCCAAGTCAACAGACTGGGGTGACCATTTGGGGCCAAGTCCATCTGGCTGGCTATCTATGTAACCCTGAATCATTAATCTGTGAATGTTGATGAAGCTTAGTGAAGATCTATGGAACATTGAAGCAGAACATTCCATCCCTCAGAAGCCCCGTGTCTGAAGAGGGAGCAATTAGCCTTAGCGCCCCATCTCATTGCCAACTCCCTCTCAACTACAACCAATCAGAGGCAGTCCTCCAGGTATCTGGAGGCATTTCCTTACCATGGGCTGAGCTGGGAGGCAAGTCACAGAGCAATCCCACACTTCTGGCTACCTGGGCAGAGCTGCAATCCTCCCACACTGTGGATTCCTGAGGATGGGCTAGGTGTCGGTCTTGCTGGAGGAGACTTAGGAAAGGCTCATATTTCCCCTCAGGCTGGGGCTCTGGAACCATGTGCCCACTGGAGTAGGCCTGAGAGTAGCCAGACTCTGAGGAGCTGGGGTTGCCTAGGGAGGGGTAATGCCACAGCTCATCAGACTGAATGGAGGGGCTCCCCGCCAGGGACAGTGGATACTGATCCGGAGTCATGAGACTGCAGTTGGGGGCACCATATGCAAAAGATGCTTCTGGCTCTGGCTTTGTCCACGGAGAAGAGAAACGCCACTGATTTGGAGGCATGTCACTATCTGGGAAGGAAAGATTTACAAGACATGTTAGGTATTTATTGTTTTCAAAATGGAAATAGCTTAATTTTTTTCTGGTTACTACAGACTCTATTTTTTTTAACATGAAGAAGGTGTAGAAAAAGTAAAACAAACAAACAAACAAACAAACAAAAACCAAACCCCACTCTGACTCCAATATCCAGAGACCACCAATGTCTACTTTTAGGTATACTTCTTTCTAGGATTTGTTTCTATTCAGGTCCACATGGTTTTCACATCACATGGGATTTTTAAGGCGGCTTTTGCAACATTAAAAGATCACAAATATCCTCCCCTGGCAACGAACAGAGCCAGCACCAGCACAGTATTATTCAGTTATATACACAACACTGTGATGAACATCTTTGCACCCGTGTCCACCGAGCCCCTCAAGGAAACTTTTCTAGAAGTAAAATTGCTTGATTAAAGGTGATTTGTGTTTGGTCATTGCTGGTTGGCTTGATTTTATAGCTCGTGGTTTGAATACACCAAATGGAAGGACACCACAGAATTTTATAAAGGGTTTAATGCTCACCTGTTAATAAGTCACTCATACAAGTCTAGGGGTCGAAACCCCATTTTCTAGAGGGATCAGGGGCATGGGGATGCTAAGACTGGACCAAGTTAGCAAAGCAGGTTAGTCAAGTAGGGATCTGAACTGGAGCGGTGAGTGATTGCTTGGATCTCTTCCTGCAAAAGCAAAATGCTCAAGGTCAAGCGGTGACTCAGTTTCTTCTCGCAAAGTTCATGTGGACTAGCAAGGGGGGATGGAGTCTCCTTTGGTCTCATAGATACTCTTCTAATTGTGCCTAGGGTACCAGCTGAATCTGAGTGTTCCAAAAGTCTAGGGCAGCTCACGACATGGATGGATGTGTTCCCCATTCGCAACACCCGCTCAGGCAAGAGAGGAGGAGGGAGAGTGCTCTGGCAGATGGTGCTTAAAGCCTAGAGCCTCTCATCTATCCAAGATAATGAAGGAGGGGTGTGGGCGTGAAGACAAAGGAAGATTGGAGGGCTGGAGAGACTGTCTGGTCCCCTCCCCACCTCCCCTGCCCCACGTGTGTCTCTCCCAGCTCTCCTGAATGTTCCACTTGCCTGGTTGTTGTACAAGATAAAAGCATCTTGAGTGGTCTGCACAGTGACACTGGAGCGCCGCCCCCCGCCTGCCCTCCCATCATAGCTTTTCATGTAATACAGACGGGAAGAGCAAAAGAAGTCGTAACTTACGTGGCACAGACATTCACCCAACATTTCACATCGCTCACAATGAGGGGGGGGGCGACGGTTGGCTTCTTTTAATGAAACCAAGGGCATGAAAACGTTAAAATTTGTTCTTGGGGATGAATGCTACTTTTGAAAATTGATATCTACAGACTGGTAGCGATTCAGGGCACTGTGTAGCACAAAGAGAGTGATTAAGCTGACTTAGTATAATCACTAGGCGTGCTTCACGTTCAATAAGGGTACTGCATGTTCTGAGCACAAGTTAGAAACAATGTGTAGCCCGACAAGCGGGCAGTTTCCATCTGAACTGGCCTTACAGATCTCATACATATGACCTAGAGGCTGAATGCTTGAAATGGGCAAGGCAGGGCCCCAGTGGCTTTTGAATATTTCTTTTAACTGCTTCCCTTCCAGAATTTTCTTTTCTTTTCTTTTTCTTTTAGGCCTTCCAGAATTTTGTGATCGAAATGTTCAGGGGAGTGGGTGGTGTGCCACTGTCCAAGGTCCATCTGGAGTGCACTAGAGCACAGTTTGGACGGCAGCATGGGGGGAGGCAGTGTCCCAAATCCCAAATTCACAGCAACCCCATAGTGGACCCTGGGTGACCTGGCAAAAGCCATCTTTCCAGAGCAGACTTGGATGTTGGTGACCCACGGGGTGGAGACCCTGAATTTGGGGGGGCACTCTTTCCAGCAACCACGCTCACCTACCCTGTGAACTCTGAAGGCATTTCTAGGTCACAGTCCTGACTGGCTCAAGCGGCTGTTGCCACCGCTAGAAGTGACCCTGGTGACCCTTTCTTACCCAAGGTCCCCCACTCTTAGTTACCTCTAGAGATGAGAGAGAGGGAGCCCTGGGGAAGAGTGCTGCTTTATCAAACCCCAGACTACATGAATGAATGGAGACCAGTCCAGGAACATCTGGGTTCTAGGACACTTGGGGCCGCCTGGATTTTCCTTTTAGTAGGAATACAAAAGGCTTCCATTCCATATACTCCCAACTCTGAGCATCTAGACCCTGCCTCGCAGTCCCATCCTAACCTCAGAGAGTGCCGGGGAAGGGGCGGGGGGGCGCGTCCTGGGCTGAGCACAAGAGCCCACAGCAGCAGTAACAACACTTGAGGGCTGATGTGGAGGGTGGATGGTGTAGACAGTAGTTGCAGAAGAGAATTTTCAGAAGCCATTGCTCAGTGCACGTCCATTTCCAGGAAATGATACACCAGAGGCGGATAGGAGCGGTTGCAAATCCACAACAGTTTTGTTTACTGAGCACTTATTATGGGCCAGGCGCTTTGCTTAGCACTCTGCCCACATGAGCTCACGTGATCCTCACAGCGACCCGGATGACAAAATAAAGACTTGGAGCGGCTTGCCTAAGGCCACGCAGTTGGCCAATGCTCTGGCTGGCTGATTCCAAAACTCGCGCCCTTTGCAGCTCCCTCTCTCGGTATTGCAGTGAGCTGGGCGCTCTCACACACTCCTGGGGTTGGACGGTGGCAGGTGGGCATAAAATCTCTTGGGGCAATTTGAATGCATCCTTTGATCCAGTCATTCCCCTTATAACAATTTAGGGATATAATCAACGATGTGTGCAAAAAATGTAGCTACGAGGATCGTCAAAAGGATATTTACAATATAGTGAAAAATTAGCAACAACCCGATGTCCAAAAATTGTAATAGATTCGGTACATCTATAAAAAGGATACTCTGGAGCCATTAAAATGATGTTGTAGGGGCGCCTGGGGGGGCTCAAGTCAGTTAAGCGGCTGCCTTCGTCTCAGGTCATGATCCTGGGAGATCATTTATGTACAAAATGATGTTACGTTCGTTGTAAAACTTAGCATGTGTGCATAGATGCACGTGTGCTTATGTCCTGAATGCTTATCTTTGTTTTCTAATTTTCAAAAAATAACAGTACTTTTGTGATTAGAAAAAGTTATATATTTTTTAAGATTTTTTTATTTATTTATTTGACAGAGCACAAGCAGGGGGAACAGCAGCGGGAGAGGGAGAAGCAGGCCTCCCGCGGAGCAGGGAGCCCGATGTGGGGCTCGATCCCAGGACCCTGGGACCATGACCCGAGCCGAAGGCAGATGCTCATCGACTGAGCCACCCAGGCGCCCCGAAAAAGTTATTTTTTTTTTTAAGTAAAAACTGAGGAAACCATTTGACTCACTGAATTGGAGTCACAGTTGTAAAAGACCAATCCATAATGGCCTGCTTTCCTTCCACCCACCCTTCCCTCTCGCCCTCCTCCCCTTTCTCTGTCTCTGCCTTTAATACAAATCCTGCTTTATGATGAGGTTAAGACCAAGCACCCTCTGAACATCTTGCACCGTGACAGTCCAACCTTCGGCCTGTCCGATCTGTACGCACTGACTTTTCCTTCTCTGCCTTCTTGGCTAGTGGTGCTGGCCTCTTATTCATTCACCCCAGAAACAAAGAGGATGTTGTTTGTATTAAGCCGAGGTTGAAACAACACCGGGGACAGGACAGCTTACGGGACACGGTCCTGTTCCAGGGCACTAGGGCGGCCTGCTCGGCCCCACTCCCTCCTTTACCATCGCCTCCCCGGGGTACCCAGTCTTTTGCTGACTATCCAGAGCCTTTATCCAGATGAAAATGAAGATGAAACACAGAGCGTGTGCAGTATTTGCAAGTGGCTGAGAGTTCAGGATCGGAGTCAAACTGGCCTGGTCTCAAATAGCCACCCCTTACTGGCGGTGGGATCTTGGACAAATCACTTGGCTCTCTGAGCCTCAGTCTCCTCCCCAGGATAATGGGCACAGTGCGGGTTAACCAATAGCTGGTGTGAGGATTCAATGAGCTAATCCATGTGGGAGCCCCCAGCAAAGGGCCCCGCACACAGGACGTGTTCCATCATTGTTAGCCATAGACAACAGTATTAGCCCTCTCACTGGGGTGTTGTCAGGGTCTACAAAGGCAGGACAGCGGGCTAGTAAAGAGTCCGATGGACCTGGGTTTCAACCTGTAGCCCTCACTCACAGGCTGTGTGACCCATCTCAACACTTAACCCTAGCTGGGCTGCGTTGCCTCCTCCGTGAAGTGAGGACATTAATATCCCTTGTAAAGTGGCTTTGGGAAATACAACAGGCATGCAGGAAAATGTGCCAGTGTGCCACCAGGGGCGTATTCACAAACTAGGTAACGAGTACCCAGATCAAGGAACAGAACATGGCCGCCACCCCGGGAAGCCCACCTCCCCGGAGGTAACCGCTCTCCTGTCTTCTGACACCAGATTCAGGTTGCCTATCTTTGACCTTCAGAAATCACAGTGGCTTTTGAGGACTGAAGTGACTGGTCACTGGCCCATGGTGTCTAGTGTCCAGTGGGGCCTCACTCTGCGTTGGTGCGGATGCCTCTCCCTCACCAGAAAGAAAGACGCGAGGTTGTCAGTGTTCACAAGGGCCAGGAACAGCTAGCATGACTCTCTCTCAAATGGTTATTCACACTCAAAACAAACAAACCAGTGTTTCTTCCCCACCCCTACTGGATTATGGTTGAGAGGAGAGAGGAGGAGGTATGATCTTTTGAGTCTCGCTACAAAAGACCTCTGGGAGCTCAGTGGGGTGGGATGTGCATCCGGACCCTGACCCCCCGCCCCCCAGAAGTGGCAACTACCGCAGCTTCTCTGGTCACCTACTCTGAAATCCTCAAGTGTCCTTTTAGAAGGGAGATAATTCAAAAATGCCTTCAGCCTGTGTTTTCTTTTCTAAAGTCCAGCCAGTATAAAATATACATAAGTAAATAAAAAAATAATTTGGATTTGGGAAAAACAGCCAGGAAATTCGATGGCATTTCCTAGCCACATGGGCCTCTGTGTTTGGGCTTTGCATATTTGGCTTGACAGAGCGCCCTTAGAAAGTGGCCGCGTCGGTAACGGGAGCCCATGAATGGGAGCCTGTTCTGTTGGGCATGGTTCAGCCAGGGCTCGGCGGCCTGGGGCTGGCCTGCAGGGCCTGAGAGGTTGCTAACGGGCAGTAATGAAAGGCCACTTTATGGATTTCCCACCATTTCCGAAGCTGTGGGGCTCTCACATAACACCTCTTGTGAGAACTGCTGGGGGACTGGTCTTTCATGGGGCCTCCCGTGAGGCAGCACAGCTTATGAGAAACTTGACTCTTAACCGTGATAAGAGGCCTGGAGGAAGACAGACCTCCCTTTGCTCAGTCAGCTGGACCAACATTTGCCCCACCTGCCCCGCACTCTGTGAGGAAGACATCGTCACAGTCAAGGGACCCGTGAGATTCTCACAGGGTAAATGCAACCAAGAAGGTAGGCAGAGAAGATGGCTGTCTCTCTGTTTGGCCTCGGAAGGTTGGCTTGGGCAAGAAACAGAGCCACGTCCAAGTTCCCTTCACGCACAGGAGCATCACAGAATAGAATGAAGTCAGAAGGCATAAGAAACCATACAGCTGTCACATGGCAGAAGCCCCTAGAAAACGTGCAGGCTTCCAGGAGGTGCTTGCTGCTCTGTGATCTTAGTGCTTTGAAAGCAGGCCCCCATACCCACTCTCACCACTCAAAAAACATGTCAAGCTTTCATACCACCACACAAACATAACGAACACCTACATGGCACTATGTGTCAGCGGCCATGCACGACCTCATGGACCCCTCCTATAGTTAAGTGATCCTCAGCTTTAGAGAGGAGGGAGCTGAGGCACAGACAGAGGAAGTGATGTGCCCTGAGACCACATTGTCAATAAATGGTGGAGCTGTTTCTAAAACCACACACCGCACTCTCTTCGGTGACTCCATCCATGGCAGACATCAGTACCCTATGATGCGAATCACAGTTTCATTCATTCAAGTGATATTTACGGGGCACCTTCCATGTGTCAGGCTTGGGGCTAGGGACTTGGGAAGTAGCAGTTAACACAGAGGCCCTGCTACCATGGAATTCAGTTTAGAGAATGGGGGGAGACAAGAAAGAAAACACATAAATATATAATATGCCCAGTGGTAACAAATGCTAAATAAAATAAAATAGTGTAAGAAGACAGAGGGTGACGCAGGAGGGGGGGTGTTTCTATTTTTTAAAGAGATTGTGCAGAGAGGGCTTGGCTGGAGAGGTGACATTCCGATGGAGACCTGAATGGAGAAAAGGGGGAAGTCATGCAGTTATCTGGGGGAAAGAGCATTTCAGGGAGGGGGTGGAGAGGTGCAAAGGGCCTGAGGCAGGATTGTACTTGGCATGTTTTACAAATAGTAGGAGGCTAGATTGGATGAAATGAGGTGGGGGTGGTAGGATATGAAATCAGAATGAAAACAGGGCCCCATGCAAGACTTCTGTATTTGCTTCCAAGTGAGACAGGAAGCTACTGGAGGGTTCTGAACAGAAGAGACATAGGACGAGACTTTCCTTTTAGTGATATCATTCTGACAGCTATCTTGAGAACAGACGGAAGGGGAGCAAAGGTGGAAGCAAGGAGACCAGTCAGGAAGCTACTGCAAAAATCCTGGGCTGAGATGACGGCTTCCTGGACCAACACGATAGCGGCAGAGGTGGGAAGACGTGGTCAGACCTTGGATATATTGTGAAGGTAAAACTGCCACTGTTTCAAAGGACTGGGTATGGGGTACGGGATGAAGAGAGGAGTTAAACATGACTCTCAGTTAACTGGAAGGAGGCGGCTGCCATATATTGAGATGGGGAGACAGTGGACAGAGCGGGTCGAGGAGGCAATTAAGAGCTCAGTCTGAGACTCATTGTTTGTGATTCCTAGTAGATATGTGAAGGGATCAAGTAGGCAGCGGGCTAGACAGGACTGAGATGCAGTCTGGGCTGGAAATAATGCATTTGAAATTGATATAGATGGTACTTAAGACCAAGAGACAGAAGAGATCCCTTAGGGAGTGAGTGTAGATAGAGAAATTGTCTAAGACCCGAACACTGGGGCCTCCAAACATTTAGAAGCTGAAAAGAAGAGCACGTCCAGCAGAAGAGACTGAGGAGTAGTAACCCAGGAGGAAGGAGGAAAACCAAGAGAAGGTGATGTTATGGGATCCAAGTGAAAGAGGCATTTCTAAGAGGGGGGAGCAACCACCTGCAGCCAATGTTGCTGACAGGTCAAAAAAAGATGGAGATAGGGAAAGACCATTGACTTGGCAAGTGGAGGTCACTGGCTAACCTTGATGAGAGTGGTTACGGAGCGATAAGGATGAAAGCCTGAGTGGAGGGAGTTCCAAAAAGCAGTAGAGGAAGAGGAAGGGTGCATGGGCGTAATTTTTGAGTCTTCCTATGAAATGGGGCAAGAGGCCAAGAGTTGGTTTTATTTCAGGCTGGGTTTTATCAGGCAAGCGGGACAGAGGATGTGAGGGACTGTAGGTAGATGGCACTTACAAGGGAGTGATGATAATGAATCCAAGCCAGCGTGTTCACAACTCAGTCAAAGCCAAATAGCCAAAGTCCATGCATGTGAAGTCCACACATGAAGAGCTTGGGGTTCTGACTCTTCCAAGGAGCTGATTAGATCCTCTGAAACCCACTTACCCCATTTATCAGCTCTTAACTACACATTAATTCCCCCAAATGACTCAGTCAGTCATTCTTGCTCTTGCTCTGAACTACTCAACACACCTTTGGACATCACAGCCCCAACCTCCAGCCACCCCACTGTGCCCATTGCAACTGCAAACTGCATCGTTTCCTTTAGTGTCTGCTGCTACCGTGTGCCCTTCCACATGTTTGCTTAACTCCCAAGAGTCTCAGAAAATCACATCACCTGACTGGAAAAATAATTTCTAGGACAGAAGTAAATTCTGCAAAGGTGATGTACACCAACTCCCCAACCAGGTCCAAAGAGCAAAGCCAGAGTGATGGCTTCTGAAAAGAGGGGAGATCTTCCCCCCACCGACAGATGGCCCCCCACTTGGCATCTTTGCACAAAGTGGACAATCATTTGGAGGCATGTACATCCTCCCATGGGGGCCAGGCATTCAACGTGGGTGCTGGGCAACTACAACGGAGAATTCTTAAAATCCCCGGTCTATTGCACATTTCAAAGTGGTGAATGGACTCCCATCCATCTTGCAGGGTGACTTCTCCATGAGGCACAGCAAGTACAGTGCCTAGGGCCCGCAGATACTTTTTAGGAGCCCATGAAAATGTTTTAACGTCTTTTAAAATTAGAAGAAAAATGAATATAACAAAAAAATGAATACATAAAAATGAATCCAGCCTGGATTAAAGTTGTGTTTATACCAATGCAGAGTCACAAAATGTCCTTTTTCATAGCTGTACTGAGGAAGAGACCCATAGAGTCAGAAATGTCTAGGGTCTATGAAAGTCCTACTAGAGCCCTGACAGCTTAATTTTTATAGCTTTCTCCAAACCTGGGTATTTTCATGAGCACTCTTTGACACAGCTATCTTGAAATAATTGTTTAGAGATGTAAGAATGCTTGCTTATTTATTTATCTATTTATCAGCATCTGCCTTTGGCTTAGGTCATGATCCCAGGATCCTGGGGTCGAGTCCCACATCGGGCTCCTTGCTCAGCAGGGAGCCTGCTTCTCCCTCTGCCTGCCTCACCCCTGCTTGTGCTCTCGCGCACTCTCTCTCTCTCTGACAAATAAATAAATGAAATCTTTAAAATAAATACATAAATAATGAAGGCTGATAATAGCGAACCGTCACGGCGCTCTTAACTGTGTACTAAGCAGTGAACCCAGCATTGAACGCAATTAAGGAAAGAACGAAATAGGTGAACTAGCTTGATTACACAGTGTTGATTTTCACACTAAACTTCCAAGAAATGGGTGCAGCTTCTCACTTACGGTGTGACTTGCCTTCTGCAAATACACACACGTGTCAGCGCATCAAGGGCTTGGGAGAACAGGTCTTTCCGTGGTAGCCTTGATCGAAAATTCCAGCCTCCTCCCTCCCAACATGCTCACCATTCCTCAGGATCACATCTGTGCTCTGGCTCAAGGGGCTCAATCCCTGGGGGCTCTTGACATTGCTCAGAGCTCTGGAGAAGTGTTCGTCCACTACGCTGCCGATGTCCCCTTGGAAATAGGTGAAGAGGACACACCGGGGATTCCACTCAGTCTTTATAGGTCTCTGCAGCTGGATATCAGTCTTCCCCATCTCTTCCATGGTGAGCAACACAGGTAGGGGACAGCTGTGGATCGAACACAAAATGTTACTGGCACGATTTTTTCCAAGTGGCTTGGCTATAGTTTGGAGGAGAGGCATTTTGGGGGCTCCTGAGCGGTGCCAGGAAGCTCAACCACCATGCGCGCTGGTCTGAGGACCAGGGTGAGGAGCCTCCTCTGATCGATGTTCTGGGAACAAGACAGAGGTCTACGAAGGGCTGAAGGGGCCCCCGGGAGCCACGCAGGAGAATTATCTGGCAACTCACACAGTAGAAGATCAGCAGGAAGTTTAAAAAAAAAAAAAAAAAGGCCATTGAGGACAAAAGAGCAACTTGCCTTCTGGGGAAGTGCCTTCCTCCTCCAAAAACAAATGAGCGGAAGGTTGACCCAGAACTGCATGTAGATGCTCCTGGACAAAGGCCTGGGCCCCCCTGGAGAGCTTGACTAAGCAATCCAGTGGGTACCTCACTTTTCATAATAAACATTGCTCTCCATCTTGACCCCTTGCATGCGAGAGAATAAAACACATCAAATTCTCCTACTCCGCTGTTGTTGTTGATCTACCTAGGATGGTGTCCCACCCCCACCCCCCACCCCCCACTAGAAACGGGCGATTACAAAGGACACCAGTCCTCAGGCCTCCAGACAGATATATTCTGAACCAAGTACAGATTTAAAGACCAACATTCTCTACACTAATATATATGGCAACATTGGTGAAAAGTTCCTGAAAGATTGTCAGATTGTCAACCCTGTTCACCGCCATATCCTCTGCACCTAGAACAGTGCCTGAGACTCTGTGTCTATGCTCAATAGCTGTTTGCTGAGTTGCCTTAAACTTGGCTTCCATCATAGCATCCTAACCGCGAGCTCCTTTAGAGAGGGGGCTGTCCTCTTGCACCAAAGCCAGGACCAGGCATACAGTGGTCACTCGAGACATGCTGTGCGGCCTTCCTTTAGTAGAGAAGTACCCTGTCCAGATGCTTCTTTACCTTTGGCCACCTGACCAGACTTGGCAGTGTGCTCTGGCTAAAGGCAACTTTATTCATTCTTGGGAATCTAATGCAACTGCTTAGAGTTTAATAGTCTCTGTTCCTCTCTAGTCCTTGAGGGTGGGGGCCATTTATTATTCATTTCTTTATCCCTAGCACCTAGCATAAGCAGGTCAGTAAACAAATGGCTGAATGCCGGAGTTCCATTTCATGCAGAGAAAGCACAATGCAGGGAAATCAGACCAATTAGGAGTCAGGAGACCTGGGGATTTTCCTCAGCTGTGTGATTTTGGCGGAAGCACATGGCCTCTCTGGGATTCAGATTCCTCTTGCGTAAAATTAAGAGGTTGGAGAGTATGAATTCTGCAGCCTATTCTTTCATGGTCCTGCTAGAGACGTCAGGAAGGAATCTGGCAGCGAGCAGGGGACCCTTCCTAAAAGGTCTCCTTTCAGACTCATTCTGGCCCCAGCCATAACTGGGTCCTGCTGCCTACAGAAGCCTTCCATTGAGCACATCACTCTGTTTCCCCCGGTTGACAGCCATGCTGAGCACAACCAGGCACTACCTGAAAAACGAATCCATTGTGTCCTTATTCCAAAAGACACGCAAACAACCACTCTGTTGGGCAGGTTCTTAGCAAGTGAAACACACGCTTACTCTATGGCCCAGCAATCCCTGCTTCTAGGCACATACAACCAAGAGAAACGAAAACGTACGTCCGCACAAAGACTCGTGCATGTGGTTCACAGCAACTTTATTTAAAATAGCCAAAAAGTGGAAACGAGCCAAATGCCCAGCATCGAGAGGAAGAATAAAGCAAAGGTGTCCTTGAGCACATTATAAGGAGTCAGAGAAAGGCAAGTACAATTGGCCTTGAACACAGTCAAAAATCTACATATAACTTGACTCCCCCCAAATTTAATCTACTAATAGCCTACTGTTGACCAGAAGCCTTCCCAACAACATAGTCAATTAACACATATTTGGTCTATGTATGATACGCTGTATTCTTACAATAATGTAAGCTAGAGAAAAGAAATGCAAAGAAAAGCCTAGGGAAGAGAAAATACATTTACAGCACTGCACTGTAAAAAAATTCGCATTAAGTGGACCCGCGCAGTTCAAACCCATGGAGTTCAAGAGTCAACTGTACTTATAATATCAGTTTGGCGCGGGATTTTAAAAAGTCCAACTCCTAGAAACGGAGTAAAATGATAGTTACCAGGGGCCGGGGGGGGGGGCGGTGAGGGGATCGGGCCGGCGTTGTTCAGGGCACAAAGTTACAAGCGGTAAAGAAGCCCTCGAGATCTAAGGCACAATACCGTAGCAGTCTTCCAACTTGCAAGGAGACTAGGACTAAATTATTCCAGCTACTAAAAAGAAAGGATAATGGTGCGAGGTGATAGAGGTGCTAATTATCACCATAATGGCAATCATGTTACAATATATAAATTTATCAAATTAACATGTAACACCTTAAATTTACACAGTCATAACATCAAATCTATTTCCCAAACACAGCCAAAAAAGAAAAAAGAAAGTGGAGGTGTTACAAATTATAAAGTCATGACAAATGTTGGAGCCAGCCCTTTTCCTAAGGCTACAGTTTACAAAATACCGCCTCTGTGCCAGAAGCTCTATGCATATTTTCTCCAGTCTTTGCAACTCTCAACGGAGGTCCTACTGTCCGCATTTTAGAGATGAGCAAATCTGGGCCCAGAAAGTGAAATGAACTGCCCACGCCACACAGCTAGGTGGGGGCCGAGCTGGGATTTGAACCTAGGGCTCTCTGGCTTCAATGTCGTCCCTTCCCCACCATCCCTTGCTGTCTACCCGGTGGGACTCACAGAACCCCTCTATGAACTTCAGTCTCCCCATTTATCAAATGTGAAGCCTTGACTTCTGATCTCTAGGGAACCTTGAGCCAGGCCATAAGCCGGTCATCTGGTTTCCTTTGGGGAGCACAGACAGAACATCTGTCCACTCCCTCCAGGCTTCTCCTGAGAGCCTCTACTTGCAAGCGCTGCTTAGCACTTTTGTAAGAGTCACGGCTTTAGTCCTGGAGATGCCAATGGCCACTGCTCTAGGCTCAGGCTTGACAAACAGCTTGCAAAATCTATCTTTGCAGACTCTCCCTGAAGCTATAAGGAAGGCAGCCGGCCGGACCCTTGGGATATCAGGGCCATGGATCATGCTCCTAGTCTCCTCGGGTAAGGACCACAGAGCCCACAGGCCACTGGCCACAGCCAGGAAAGGTTGGAGAGGGAGAAAGTCAGAGGCAATGTCTCTCAAGGGATCGGACCGTAGGCAACCGGGATCCTGATTGGGGTACAAGTGCTACCTCTCCCCAAACACACGGACACACCTTTCAAAGGAGAACACGGCTTACTTCTCTGGATCTAGGTCACAAGCAATTCTCCGGGCTGCACTCAGACCTCAGCGGAGAGGACGTGCCTCTCGGGGATACTGAGATTCTGAGAACCGTTATTGGCTACAGCCTTTGCAGAGCTGCATCTCACGGCACCTCTGCAGAAACGTGGACAGTTCCATCCCCAAGTGAGCCCTCTGCGAGGGGTCTCCTGATGCAGGCGTGAATTGGCTGGAGTCTGGCTTAAGAGAAGGGGCGCTGTAAAGCTGGAACCGAGGGGAGAGCCGTGAGGCGGAGCGGGGGGGGGGTTACTTTCCAGGAGAAGATGATCCTGTCCCAGTCCCTGGCTTGTAGTTAAAACCTCTTGCGGACAAAACCCTAAGGTCAAGCTTTACCAGCTGTGCAGTTAGAATAGCAGAATTACAAAAGTACACCGCACCTTGCAACCTTTCCCCAATGCACAAACAATAAAAACACCTAGCGCTCCAATTCGACCTCAGAATGATGCCCAGACTTCTGCACAAATGTTCTAACACGGAATCCAATGCCAGCAATTTGGGCCTCAACTTTACCACAGTCTGCTTGTAAGGACATGGTTACCACCCTGCTGCAGAATGCTATCCAGCACCTCGGGCGTGGGGGGGGTGGTGTCGGAGAGGTTGTCACAGTGATCACTTGGAACAAAAGCCCCCAAAGGACCAGAGTGTAGCGCGGTGAGCAAAGCATGTGATGCTCACCGCTCCCCCCTGCCCCGATTCCTGCCCAGTTGACTCTCCATCCCTCCTCGCCCCCCAGAATTCGCCAGCTTCTCCTACCTTAATTCCTGACCATCAACTGAGACAGCAAGATGCCACAGCTGAGCAAAGGTGCGAAGTGATGGTCAGAGTTGCCTGGCCCACCTAGGAGCAGCTCAGTGCTTGCGGAAGCTGGGGCTGGGGATTTTGTACCCTCCCCTCGCTACGTTCTACCCCTCCAGCCCGGGCTATAAGAGGCATTTCCTGCTGGCTATCTATTAAGAATGCAGAAAATGCGCTCCGACAAGTCATTCGGGTTGGGCACCTGCAGGAATGAGGAAAATAGGTAGCTCTTTTTTATTTCTTTCTTTTTTGCATTAAAAAAAAGCACTTAGTGATATTGTCTCTTAAAGTAGGCGGTCAGTTGTTTGCCGGAAACCACACACAGAGTCAATAATGTCTGAAACATTGATGACACCTTCACTCTCAGGAACTGGGCAAGTCTGTTTGGCTCATCACAACTTTCTCCCTCTCTCGCCGTGGGAAGAGAAAGGGAGCCCAGACTCCTAGAATTCTGGACGTGTCGCGGCCTTCCGTGGGCCCCAGAGGGAGGGCGTGCGTCTCTGAACCTGGGACAGAACGAAGCAGTTCAGGGACTGCAGCTGGAGGCTTGGAGCCGGCGGTCCCGACGCTCACCTTGAAAGATCTTCCCGATGACCTCGGGCGGCGGCACCGTCATTCAGGTCCCAGACCTTGGAGCCATTCTTTGCTCCATTCATTTCTCCGTTTCAACAGTATTTCACAAACTTTTTAGTAAACCCCTACTGTGTGCCGGGCACTGTTCTGGGAGTTCTGTTCTGGAGTGAATGAAACAGACCAAGTCTCTCTCTGCCTTCGTGGAATAAACACGCACACCGCTTATATGCCTGGGTGTTCATATTACAGGCGTTCAGTGTATGCGTAGGCCAGGTGGTTAATAAGTACAACAAAGAGGAATTGACCGGGAAAGGGAAGCAGGGAAGGGAGACATATAGGACCACCGAGAAAGGCTTTTCCGGTAACGTGACATTTGAGCCAACCACGTTGGTATCTGCTTTCCTGATATCCGAAGGAAGGCCAAATGCAGAAGGGGTCTCGGGCTTGGTCTGTGCGCACAAAAGGGCAAGGAGGCCAACATGGCCAAAGGGGAAGGAGGGAGGGAGGGGAGACAGGCCTCACCGGCCCTGCCGAGGCTTCTGACTTTTGCCCGAAGTGAAAAGGAAACCCACTGGAGGGTCTGGAGAAACCCATCAACAAATCCCGAAAGTTCTACCTTCAAAATGCATTCCATGCTGTGTTTTCTCGCCACCTCCCCCGGGCTCGCCCTAGTCTGAGCGCCCCTCATTTCTCCTCAGCACCACTCCAGCCCCACAGGGTTCCCGGCTGTTCCTTGAATAGGGTCGACATCCTCTTGTCTTGACCCTCCCATTTCCTCTCCCTGGGATGCCCACCACCCCCCCACACGCCCTCTGGACTTGGCCTCTCGTTGCATTTACATCTCTGCCCTGCCCGCCGCTCCCGAAAGCCTTCCCAACCGTCCCACCCAAGTCAGCAGCCTCGCATATAGTCTCCGCCCTATTACCCTGCCTCCCCGTTCTTCACTGCTTGCCGTCATATTGCGTATTTACTTCTTTACAGCGCGTCGCCCCTTCTAAAATAATGCCTGGTATACAGTAGGGGGCTCAGTAAACATTTGTTGAATGAATGAATGAATGAGTGGCGGGGAGAGAGAAATCATTTAGTCACACAAGTAAACGTACAACGGCAATGGTACTAAGTCAGTGTCTGGTACTAGAAGAGCCTCTGATAAGAAGCTCTGACTTCCTCGGGGAAGACTGTCTTCCTTGTGGAAATAATGCTGAGCCTGAGGTCGGAGAGGCTGAGAAAGGGTTAACCACACAAAGGGGAAAATAGCTAGTGCAAAGGCCCTGTGGTGGGAGGGGCCTGGCAAACAGTGTTGGGGGGAAAAGAAGCAGTGCCGGCGTTGGAGACGCTAGAGGGAGCACTACATGAGGAATGAGCTAGAAAGCTGAGCGGGGGGCCAGAGCCGGCCGGGCTTTGCAGGCCATATTGAGGCATTTTGTCTTTTTCCTAGGAATAAAGAGAAGCTACTAGAGGGCTTGCTGGGGGTCTGTGTGGAGGGGCGTGGGGAAGGGGAAGGGGAGGGAAGTGACCTAAGCAGATGTGTGCTGAAGCCATCAGTCTGGCTGCGGTGTAGAGAACGGATTGCGAGATCAAGGCCACGGCCCCGTGCACAGACCAGTCCCAGCGCGGCTCCAGGAGTCTAGGGGAGAGATGAAGCTAGCTGCCTCCGGCGGCTGGGAGGGGAAGGGGGTGGATGTAGAGGGAAGCAGATGGATTCAAGACATATTCAGAAAATAAAATACACAGGTTTGGTGCTGAATCGGATCTAGGGGATCAGGGGTACCAAGGATAATGCTGGTTCGGGGGTTGCGTAACTCGATCGATTAGTGAGTGTGCCTTTCACCGAGCTATGAAACATTGAGAGGAGAGAAAATAACGTGTTGATTTTGAGGCATCCTCGAGCCATCTAAGAAGACATGACAGTAGTCAGTGAGGAGAGAGAGAGGTCTGAGTTGGAGATCTAAATTTGGGGGCTGACAGTATATAGAAGGCTACTGAAGCCTTGGGCTCTAACTCACCCAGGGAGTGTAGAGAGTAAGACAGAAAGAATTGAGCTACTTTTAAAAATGATGGAAAAGAGAACTAAGACCAAGCCTTGTGTGACCACAGCATCGACTGGCCAGGTAGACGGTGACGAGCCAGCAAACCTTACTGAGAAGGAATGGGCAAGGAGGTGGGATAAAAGAGGGGAGGGTGTTAGCGTCCCAAAGCCCAAAGAAGAACAGGTTTCGCGAAGGAGGAGCTGGTCACCTGGGTCCAATGCTGCTGAGAATTGGGAGAATCTGGTGCCTGAAAATGTTCTGTTGGATTGAGGGGCATGGAGGTCACACATGATCTTAATGAGGGATGTGTCCTGGAGTGATGAGGCCAGAGGCAGATTCAAGTGGGGATGGGGGGGGAGGAAAGCACAATGGGGAGGGTACTTTGCAGGAGTTTGGAGGTGAAAAGGACTAGAACAATGGAACAGAGTCTGGGGGTGGGGGGAGGGGTCCAATAGTTTTGTTGTTCCTTTTTCTTTTTTTTTTAAGTAATCTCTACACCCAACATGGGGCTCGAACTTACAACCCTGAGATCAAGAGTCACAGGCTCCGCAGACTGAGCCAGCCGGGTGCCCCTGTTGTTATTTTTTCTTAAAGGGATAGATTTTGACATGATTAAAGGATCTAGTTAAAAGCAAGAGGTTGAATATGCTACAAAAAGAAGGTATTACTAATAATAGAAAATGCTGAGGAAAGCAGGAGAGGAGGGGGTGAAGTCCGGGTGAAAGGACTGGCTTTGGATGGAAGGAGGGACTGTGCTGGTGTTAAGGGAGGAAGGAGCACAAGATGGGCACTTCTGGTAGACACTTATTTTTAGTGGTAGGGACATTGGACTAGGAAGCAAGGATCTGTCCCTCTAAATAGATCCGCAAGCTTGGGGAAAGTATGTCTCATTTTTTGCTCCTTTTTAAAGAGACAGTACTCTGTTAGATGGTCTCCAAGGTTTCCTGTCGCTACGCTATTCTAAGTAAACCAAGAATGTGAAATTCAAAATGGTAGAAAATTAACCACCTAGAAGGCTCCTTTTTACCCTTTTCAAATGCAAGTGCTCACGTCCAGTCCAAGGTGATGGACAGAGTTCATGGATTTCATCTCATCTTCCTTCCCAAATCCCACTAAAATGCCAGAAGAAATATAAAAATAAGAAGAACAAACCCAGAGCAGTGCTGGGAAACCAGGAAAGGTCTCACTCGCAGACCAGAGAAATGTAATGGCTGATAGTTATTCAGTGTTTCCAACGGGCCCTCCACAACACTCAACCATTTGCATGTATTAAGCCATTTAAGTAGTCTACAAAATAGGTACTATTATTATCCAAATTGAAAGATGAGTAAACAGGGGGGGTGGGCGAAAAGGGGAAGAGGATTAAAAGATACAAACTTCCAGTGATAAAATAAGTGGCATAGGGAATATAGTTAATAATATTGTAACAACACCGTGTGGTCAATGTATATAAATGTTGTACACCTGAAACTGATATATTGTTATGTCAACTACACTTCAACGAAAAAGGAAAAAGAAAAAACAAATGTTTGCTGATGCTAGGGCTAGCCCAATGAGGCAATATCAACGAAATAAAATTTAACACTGTAAAAACAGTTAGTAAATAGAGCCACAGAGAGATCAAAAGCTGTCCAAGCCAAGCCGTGTGACTCTAGAGTCTGTGCACTAAACCGCTGTTATGTGACCTTTCGAAAACAAAAAGAAATTTCTGGAAATCATAATGTGGAACCCGTACCCTGTTAGCACAGGAATAAGAGAAGGATATTGGAGGAATGATTATGAATCTTCCAAATAGAGCCCCAGAAAAAGCTCTGAATTTGTAGGGGCTAGAGTGAGTCATGGAGCAGAAAGCAGAGAAGTTAGTTAAAGGTCTGCCAAGGCAAATGGGCCTTTCTCCAACTCTGTGCACAGTGTCTTGCTGTAGTTTTCACCCCTGGCTACCGCCAGTGAGAACAGCTTTCTAAATAAAGCACATCTTGTGCCCAGAGAGGGGGCCCAGCGTGGACTTTGTGGTAGGAGAGAGGAGGGAGTGCCCAGGTAATTGGGGGGCCGGCCGTAAGAATGTAGAGACATCTTGGCAGAACAGTTAAATCCCCTAAAGATCTATGCATCTGGTAAGACACTGACTGCAACCTGTTCCCTATGCAGGTTTCATAAATGGGAAGCCTCCCATGGGCATGCCCCCAACCATTCCCCTGCACAGCTCTGTCACATTCGGAGAGAAAACCCGTCAGGTGAACAGTGACCTTCACAACCGCAGGGGACCCCAAACCACTTACCACACCGTAGTGATCTAGTCCTTCCTATGAATGGCCAATCACCAGACACTTGAGCAAAACCAACAGCCCGGCGGAGAAAAACTAAGATGAATAAGCAAAACCACTGACTTTTCAGGGAAAAGTTAATGTGGAAAACGTTTTAAAAATTCAAATCAGTATCTGGAGAGATGTCCAAGAGAATATTGCATCCATAGAACAAAATCAGTCCGCTATGAAAAAGAAGGAATCAAGGGAGTGAGACAGAGTTCTAACAAATTGGTAACATAATTGCTGAAATATGACGTAATTAGCAATGGACATAACCTGCAATCTGTCTTAGTAACTTGGAAGCCCAAGTCATGGAAGATCAGTGGAACAATCTGTAAAGTACACGGGGAAAAGTTCTTTTTTTTTTTTTAGAGAGCGAGAGAGTGGGAGCAGGGTGGAAGGGGCAGAGGGAGAGGGAGCGGGAGACAGAGAATCTCAACCAGGTTCCACGCCCAGCACAGAGCCCAACTCGGGGCTCGATCTCACATCCCTGAGATCACGACCTGAGCCAAAACCAAGAGTCAGATGCTTAACCGACTGAGCCACCCAGGCACCCTGAAAATTTCATATTTTTAAGATTTCAAATCAGTAGGAAACAGATGGGATTAATCAATTAATGATACGGAGATAATAGCACTTGGTCATGAATCAAGTTAGAAGCTTTTAACCCTCCGTTATCCCCTTTCTCTCCTGCTTCTATTTCTCCATCTCTACTGTTTCCGTCGTGGTTCAAATATGCCCGCATATCTCCCATTTTTCTCAACCACCTGCTTCCACTTCCATTCCTCTGTTCCTCTTCAGCAACCCTTCTTGAACTTGTTGTCCACGGCTGGTCACTATCTCTGCTTCCCCCCCTTCCTTTCACTCCTAAGACCTCCTTTTAGGGGAGACTGAACGCCTTTGCACACTGTTGCTCTGAGTGGTGGCGTGAGTTCTACACTTCTGGAGGGCAATTTGGTGGCATCAATCAAAATGTAAAATACACATGATTTATGATGCGGGAAAGCTACTTTATGAAGTCTATTTTAAAGGAATACTAAAAGATATGCAAAAATAAACTTGCATTTAACAAAAGCAGATTTTTGATTTTAATGTTTCATTTTTTCAAGGAGGCTCCGTACCTAATATGGGGCTTGAACTCGCGACCGTGAGATCGAGTCGCACGCTCTACTAAGCCAGCCAGGTAACCCAAAAACAGATTTCAGATTTATAACAAGGTAATTGCAGGGCAACCGCGAGGTTTCAACATGAACACTGTTCATCTGCACGAAACTCCAGGGAGATTGATAACACTGTTGGTCTTTGCTTAATTTAAAAACAAGACAAAATTAGGGGCACCTGGGTGGCTCAGTCGGTTAAGTGTCTGCCTTCAGCTCAGGTCATGATCCCGGGGTCCTGGGATCAAGCCCCACATCGGGCTCCCTGCTCACCGGGGAGCCTGCTTCTCCCTCTGCCTCTGCTGCTCCCCCTGCTTGTGTGCGCCCTCTCTCTCTCTCTCTCTCTCTGACGAATAAATAAAATCCTAAAAAAAAAAGTGCAAGACAAAATTAAACCAAACTAAAGAGTTTCAGTCTATAAGGAGGTTCAGCAAAACTCTCTTCATCTGATGGGTAGAGTCTTCGGCTATTGAATAAGGAAAGGTTTTCTGGAGGAGGTGAAGTGGATATTTACCTAAAGTATTTATTAAAATTTTATTATATTAAAAAATTTTTTTAATTCATTATATTTTATGGTAGGAAATGAAACATATTCATGTTCCTCCCCCTTTCCTCTTTTTTAAATGATTTAGAGGGTGCCTGGCTGGCTTAGTCAGAAGAGCATGTGACTCTTGATCCCAGGGCCGTTAAGTTTGAGCCCCACCTTGGGTGCAGAGATTACTAAAAAAGAAAAAATACACTTTGGGGCAGCAGGGTGGCTCAGTCAGCTAAGCGTCTGCCTTTGGCCTCAGGTCATGATCCCAGGATCCTGGGATAGAGCCCCACGTCAGGCTCCCTGCCCAGCGGGGACCTGCTTCTCCCCTCCCTCTGCCCCCCACTCATGCTTGCTCTCTCTCTGTCTCTAGTGCTCTCTCTCTCAAATAAATAAAATATTTAAAAAGAAAATAAAAATAAATTTAAAAATAAACCAAAAAAGTACTTTAAAAAAAGGCATTAGAAATGAATTAGGATTCCCATAATCTAAATTCACAGTTCAGAAATAACCAAGGGTCCTTCAAATCTTCATCTTCCCCCATCGTATCTACTTACTAAAACTAACAACATGCATTAAGATTGCATTACCTGAAATCAGTATTTCCTTGGAATGGTCACCAGCACCGCAGATGCGTTCATTACATTCGTGTCAACAATCAATGTCAATGGCCACATGACCAATCTAGTTTCAGCTGCCAACACCACAAAAAAAAAATAAATAAATAAACGCACTTCAACTCCTCCTGGTGATGGCAGGGCCCAAACTTCTACATTGTTGCAGCTCACATACCTCTCCTATGAAGCTCTTCCTGACCTCCTCCACAGAAAAGGACTCTGTGCTTCTTGGGGCCCCACTGGTCCCAGGCCAGACTCTTATCAAGACCAGCAGCAGCACTGACACCTGAGGGCTTGTCAGAAATGCGGAATCGCAGACTCTACCCCAGACCTACTGAATCCCAGTCTCTGGGGAGGGAGTCCAATGTTCACTAGTCCTTTGGGTCTTACATGCTAATGCTTAAGAAGCGCCGACCTAAGAGCACTTCACCAGAGCCTCATCAGGCTCTGGGCACAAATGAGGTGACGCTGACATTCGTGCTTGAATAATCTGAGCTCCCTTGATCACCTACATTTGTAGGACTCCTAAGTCCTTTTCCGGTCTGCTTCTTCCTCCCAGAGTATTTCTGGGAGTCCCGAGGGTGTGCTCCCATATGCCCCACAACCGATGGGGCGCTGCTGCTCGCCTCTGCGGGGGGTGCCCGATCTCCACTGCTATTCAGTGCGCGACTTTTAAGCAGACAGTTCTGCACAATCCACTTAAAAGCTAGTCCGGTCCCCAAAGTGAGCGAAAGTACAAAATGCGTTTTGGCCTGGTAGGATGACATGAGAAAACTGCTGGACACAAGGCAGGGCTATACGTGATGTTGGCCACCAGACAACTTGCATGGATCAATGGAATTGCCCAGCCAAAGGCCACTTGACGGCATCCTTCCCGCTGAAATAAGCTACTCTAGGGCTTCAGCTTGGCCATTATCCTCTCCTCCCCTGCACATCCCTTCCTCCCTTCTGCAGCATCCCAGCAGCATACAACGTGATTTAATATAATCCACTAAAAAAAAAAAAAAAAAAAAGAGTCCCCATGCTGGTGGGGCAAGTAAAAAGCTTGCCATCCTAACAAGCGGAGAGCTGAACAAACTGAAAAATCAGTAACTCTTCTTAGAGATTCACTAGAGAAGTGAGGTCACAGAGCCAACTGCTGCCCCAAACACTGGATAGCCCGACAGGCAAATACGGAGAGTCACAACTTACTGGAGCAGAAAGCTCCAAGGGAAGCAGCGCTGGGCAGGAAACCCCGCTGTGTAATTGACACGTTGCTGGAAGCTCGGCGCCAGAGAGACCAAAGACTGCAGGGGAACCCAGTCGTCAGTGGGTCCCCACAGTTTTGTGAGTTGTAGCTCCAGGAGCTTGATCAGGTTCTCATGCTCAATAGTCGAGAAAAATCCCGTCTCCTGCTTCTGGCAGGCGGAGGGGGAAACGAACCACTTTGAACACATCAGAGCATTCTGGTTTTCTGTTTGTTTGCATTCTGTTTTCTCGTAACAAGGTCTGCTCTCAAGAGAAGCAAGTTACTAGGGTTTTTATCAGAGCCTAACTGACCTGGGGGAAGGGAAAGTTGACTCTTGAACAACGTGGGTTTGAACTGCACGGGTCCACTTACACAAGGATTTTTTTTTCAATAAATACAATACATTATTGGAACTGTATTTTCTCTTCCTTATGATTTTTTCTTTTTTTCTTATGATTTTCTTAATGACATTTTCTTCTTTCTAGTTTTACTTTATTGTAAGAATACAGTTTATAATATATATGCCATACAAAATGCGTGTTAATCGACTTTATTGGTAACGCTTTCAGTCAACAGTAGGCTGTTAGTAGTTAAGTTTTGGGGGGAATCAGGGGTGCCTGGCTGGCTTAGTCAGTGGAGCATGCAACTCTTGATCTCGGGATTGTGGGTTTGAGCCCCACGTTGGGTGTAGAGATGACTTAAGAAAATGAAATCTTTTAAAAAAGTAAAGACAAGAAGAAATTACAAGACATATTAAAAGGCAAAAAACAGTTGGAAGAGACAAATAGAACCAGAATCAGATATGGCAGGAATGTTGGAAGGCTGCAGACTCCTCGTCCAGGTCTCCGGCTTTAAATATCATCTCTATGCTGATGTCACCAAATTTAAATCTCCAGCTCTGACTTCAACCCCGGAGCTTTAAAGGCATATCAAATTGCCTGTTTGGCATCTCATGCAGATGTCGTATAGACATCTCAAACCATGTGGCTGGGACAGAAGCCATCGGTTGCTCCCCTCCTCCAACCTGTCCCTTCCCCAGGCTTCCCTACTACAGCTAGGAGGTCCAGCAGTCACTCAATGGCCAGGACAAAATCCTAGAAAGTCATTCTTGATTCTTCTCTTGCTCTCAATCCCCATATCTGCTCCATCAGCGAATGCTGTCACCTCTACCTCCAAACTATATGCAGAATGAATGCAATAGCTTCTCGCCATCTCTACTGCTATTTGTCTAGTCTGAACCACCATCAACTGTCACCTGGACTCCTGCCCTCTCCTCCATTGTTCTTCTCTCCCGTCACAGTGATCTTTTATTTATTTATTTATTTATTTATTTATTTTATTAATTTTATCTTTTAAAAAGTAATTTCTACACCCAATGTGGGGCTTGAACTCATGACCCCAAGATCCAGAGATGCATGCTCTACCAATTGAGCCAGCCAGGCACCATACAATGAATGATCTTTCTGAAGCATAAACCAGATCACATCACTCTTCTGCCTAAAAA